CCACGAGTATTCACGAAACTGCTTAAACCGGTAGTAGCGAAGCTACGGGAAGAAGGCATAACCCTAATTGTATATCTTGATGATTTTTTGCTCATTGGCGACTCCGCCAAACGACTTCACGCCCATGTCGATCGTACCATAAACTTATTGCAATCGCTAGGCTATACGGTAAACTTAACCAAATCCGCGCTACAACCGACAGACCAAGTCACCTTCCTCGGATATAACCTCGATTCATCCACGATGCAACTGTCGGTGCCGACAGACAAACGTCACCAGATAAAACAAGACATCATCACTTTGTTGGCAACTCAAAGGATCACACTTCGAATGCTGTACCGCATACTGGGCAAGCTGAACGCACTAACCACGATCGTTCGATCTCTGCGATATCATTGTTCGTCGTTGGCCTCACTTGTTTCCAAGAGCACCCGACAGAACTGTGCGTTCGACTCGGAAGTGCCTTTACCCCTCACTGGTCGGGAAGACCTCATATGGTGGTCCGAAAACCTAGACATGATAGCGGTCGGACCTATAAAATTACCACTTGTCTCACTGGAAATAACGACAGACAGCTCTCTCAAAGGGTGGGGCGCTTGGTGTGGACAACGAGCGTCCGGGGGAACGTGGAACATACACGATCAAAATCTCCACATCAACGCGCTAGAACTTAAAGCCATTTTCCTGGCGGTACAAAAACTAGCCGATGACCAAAAAGACACAACGATCGCTATTCGGACCGACAATACAACTGCAATGCATTGCGTTAATAACTTCGGCTCGCTACACTCCTCAACCTTAAATTCGCTAACAAGGTCACTCTGGGCCTGGGCCTTCGAAAGAAACATATTTCTGAAAGCTACACATATCCCAGGAACATGCAACGACAGGGCTGACTTATTGTCAAGAACAACATGCGACAACCATAGCTTCTCACTGCACGACGCTATATTCAAACGCTTAGACGCAGCTCAGGGCCCCTTCGACATCGATCTGTTCGCGGATTTCACGAACTACAAAATCATTCCTTACATCAGTTGGATCAGAGATCCTTTCGCACTCAGCATGGATGCTTTCTTATCGAAATGGGACATGTGGAACAACCTATACGCGTTTCCCCCGTTCAAATTGGTAGATCGCTGCCTCTCCCACCTAGACCTCTTCCCATCATGTGAACTATCTCTAATCTGCCCACTTTGGCCCACACAGCCTTTTTTCCCCCGGCTACTGCAACGCTGCATCGCACGTCCTCTCCTAATCCCGACATTCGACGACCTGCTACAAGACCACAAAGGAGAGCCCCACCCACTAATCTTAAACAACAAATTACGATTAGTCGTTTGGCGCCTGGCACCTCTAACCTGTCCGCAGAAGCAACGCGATTTCTGGAACAGTCTATCCGAGAAAGCACAAGATCGTCATACAAATTCGCTTGGAATCGTTGGCTTCGTTGGTGTCAACAACGACATACCCCTCTCATTGGCGTTACTATAGAGCAAATCTGCAACTTCTTGGCGCATATCGCCACTCAAGGATACTCCTATTCCACGGTGAACACATACCGCTCTTGTTTATCATACAAACTACCGCCGATCGAAGCTTTCAAAGTGGGGAATCATCCTACCATAAGGCGACTAATGAGAGGGATATTTAACGCACATCCGCCAACAAAAACTCGCCCTGCTATATGGGATGTCGAAACAGTACTCGCATTCTCAGATACATGGGGACCACCTGAAACACTATCAATACAACAAGCAGCATCCCGCGCGCTACTTCTTTTATTGCTCACGTCAGCAGCAAGAATCGGCGAGATCGCGGACTTGAGCTATCCGCCACTCACTCGCGACACGTTCCAATGGGAATTTGCCTACTCCCGCGGACTAACGAAAACAAGCAGACCCGGCCATCACTCCCCTACACTCATAGTCAGAGCTTACCCTGAGAACGAGTCTCGTTGTCCGATAAAAACGCTCGACGCATACGTATCACTTACAGAACCCTCACGCCAAGCTATCGACAAACTATTTCTCACATCCCGCAAACCCTTCCGGCCCGCTTCCAAAGACACTTTAGCGCGCTGGATGAAGAATATTCTCCTGGCCGCGGGCATCGACATTTCCATATACTCGGCACACTCAACACGGAGCGCGGCAACAACCGCGTCCCATTTACGGGGTGTCAATGTATCCGAAATTCTGCAAACAGCGCGTTGGTCCCGGGCTTCCACCTTCTACAACCATTACTTTCGACCACCCGCGACATCGGCCATGTCCTCCGCCGTGCTCATGACACAACGGTAAAATCGCTATCTATCCCTCGATGAACGATGGAACCGTCGAAGTGGAATTGATCAGTCAAGTCGACTCACGAAGTGGGAAGACTGGACTGGAATTCCACGAGTAAGGTGGAAGCGTTCATCGAGGGATCCCACCCAGACCCACCCAACAAACTCACACATTCCATCTATCCCTCACAGGAGATTCGCGAAACTGAGCTCACAACAACACGGCTCCGGAAAATCTAACCGGAAAAAAGTACCTGATCTCATGAGCTACCAGCCAACTCCTGATCTCATAGGCTACCAGTCAACTCGCCAGTACGGCGTCAGGTCCGCAGTAATCGGATCAAGTGATATACACATGGAATAGTATCAATTCTACGAAACGCAGGGTAAACCTATGCGGTGTTAACTTAATCAACCATGTACATACGAGCCCGTATGGTACAACGGAGTCAAACCAAAAATTGTCATAAGATAATAAACGACGCATTCACAACGTTTCTTCAGCTACCTTCAACTCGCCACGTTTAGGTACAGTTCGCAAAAGGGCAGCGACTTAGATAAAAACTAACACTCCGCGCGTCGCCCAACGAGTGAGACCAACCGTCACGACGACGACGCAACTCCACTCATTTTCTTTAAAGACCGCCTAGTCGCCGCCGCCGGGATCACAATCGCTATCTATCCCTCGATGAACGCTTCCACCTTACTCGTGGAATTCCAGTCCAGTCTTCCCACTTCGTGAGTCGACTTGACTGATCAGTTGTATCGGACCCTGCATTCGTTGGCGTAATGTCCCACTCTCCCGCATCGACCGCAAGGGGCACCCATTCGGTCCATCGGTTGTGAGCCCAATCCGGCACCTTCCATCCGCCGCACCTCGACGGAAGCCGAGACGGGATTCTCGCTCAACCCGGCGTCCGAAAGGGTTCGGATCTTCGCCTCAATCTCTCCAATTGTCTGAAAGTTTTCCTCTTTTAAGCGGAGCTGCCATGCCTCCGGTGAGCCCCTGATCAACTGTCGGATCACGAACATGGTGATTGTTTCCTGAGTCGCCTCCGGGACCGCTCTCCTGGAGAGATCCACAAGTCTCTGTCGCACTGGCTCAACCGGGGCCCCTGCCTTCACCTTAACCTTCTCGAAGCGGTCCATCAAGAGCTGTCTCGTGCTCGGAGGGTCCACGATATCGAGGGTTGTCCCTTCAAGACTCGAGAGCGTCGGATAAACCGCCTCCGCCGCCTCCTCGCCGTCCATCGCTACCGGGTTGATGTCCTCCGCGTATGCCTCCTCCAATCGAGTTGCAATCCATTCGTGGTCCTCTGAGATGCATACCAATGCTTTCGCGTAGCTTTTCTTATCGCTCCATTCCTCCGCATCGGCGAGCCGTTGCAATTTCCGAAAAAAATGTGGTGGGCTCGTCTGGATCGAACGGGACGAAATGCTTTCGTATCGATGCCATCCTGTTTTACTCGGTCGGCACCTGAGATGAGGGGTTAGTTGTGCTGTCTACCGGCGAGCAGATCTAGGCCCAGAAGATGTCACTCACTCGTCCTAGTCTTCGTCTCGATCTGCGCATCGAAGTCCTCGGGCTTCCTTGGTTCTTAATCCCACCGCTGTGGTTAGATGTTCGTCCACTCAAAACTCGGTTTATCGTCTCCGATAGTCACTCCATTTATTCTGGATTCTAAGATACTCCTCGTGGTTCTCGTCCGACACAGGCCCCGTTCACTCTACTTGTTTTTCTTTTCAAACTCTCTCGATGCACGTTCCTTCTGAAGCTACGTCACATTAGGCATTCTGTCGGACAGCTAACACATTGATTCCATCTATTCCATCGATTCCATCTATTCCATCGATTCCATCTATTCCATCGATTCCATCTATTCCATCTATTCCATCTATTCCATCTATTCCATCTATTCCATCTATTCCATCTATTCCATCTATTCCATCGATTCCATCGATTCCATCTATTCCATCGATTCAATCGACCATCGATTCCGTCGTCCATCGATATCAAGAGGCTGCACTTCCCAAGAGTTTATGGAGAGCAATTGGCTAATCGGACCTGAGTTCATGAGGAAGCCGAAGGCATCATGGCCTCAGTTGTCGAACGAGGCACCACGAGAAACTAAGGTCATCGCGGCAAGCATGAGGAGGAACCCATTTGAGAGTTCCCTATCTGAAAGGAGCGCAAAGCCGATCGAGTTATGGGCAAACTTCGCAAAGAATTCGAAAACCAAGATAATGCACCAACCCGTCCTGCGGTTGGGCAACAGCAGCAAATGGTCAACATACGTCAGAGCGATTGTTCGATTCCAAAGAGCCGACAATCTTTGGAGACACCGAATTAAGGGGGAAGAGATGAAGAAGCCTATTCTGTTCGTAGAGCTGCGAAGAGCACAGAACTTCATTGTCGCTCAGGTTCAGACGGAAGCGTACCCGCAGGAGTTACAGGAATTACGACTGACTTCCTCCCTATCACAGAGTTCAAAGATTCGCGTACTCAACTCTTTCCTGCAAGACGGTCTACTCTTGCTAGGCGGGAGGTTGGGACATCACGTAGTGGACCTTCCCAAGAACCCCATCATCATACCGCCGAAACACCTAGTCACGAAAATGATCCTGATGGATATACACGAACGAGCTTGTCACGCGGGACCGAGTCAGGTCATCATGATGGCGCGGCGCAGGTTCTGGATACCGAAAGTGAAACGAACGATCCGCAACATTGCACACGGATGCAAGAACTGCAGAATATTCCACTTGAAGCCGGCATCAGCAGTTGTCGGACCTCCGCCAGATGTCGGGGTTTCGAAGTCGCAACCGTTTGAGCATGTCGGAACAGATGTCTTGGGACCGCTATTCGTAAAGAACGGTAAGGAGTCGAGGAAGATCTGGGTGGTCATTTTCACGTGGTCATTTTAGATTCTTCATTCGTCCTCAACCCGGAGTTTCTCATGAGCTTAAGGAGATTCAAGGCCAGGCGAGGTTCCCCAAGAACATTCCACTCTGACTACGCGGAAGCGTACAAGCGAGCAGCACAGGATTTGAAGACTCTGTGCTAAATGATGAGAGACGGAGCCCTACAGGAGCAGTTAGCGCGAGACGGAATGGAATGGAAGTCCTCCATAGAGAAGGCCCCATGGTACATGGGATTCACGGAGCGATCAGTAGGCAGTGCGAAGACCGCACTCAAGAAAGTGTTGGGCCGGACAGCTGTCGAGGAACGAGAGATGCTAACCGTTTTGTGTTAGGTTTGTGATAACTACTCCTACTATGGGGAATGGCTTGAAGGGAGGAATGTCCGACTTATTTCACCTCACTTTATTGGGCGAATGCTCGATTGGACTGAGCGTCGCGCAGGCCGTCAGCTACGACACCCGAATCTCAACTGACGTCATCAGGCCCTACGGTGACGATAATGCAACGCGCACCTGACGACAGACGTCCCTGGTAGATTTCGCCTACGACGTTCGACCACAGCTACCATTTTTGATCTCCAGATCAACCTGGATTGCCTAATCCTAATCCTGATGAGTAGCCTAACCGAATGCCTAATTCCTATGGGAACGCCTCTTATTACGTACCTAGTTGAGGACACTATCTAGCCGGGTTGACCCTCAGTTTATGACGAAACCTTGAGTACAAGAATATATATTATATATTGCTATATTGATCACATCTTCAGGGTAGTTCCCTTCTTGGCGCATAAACTGCTCCGGGCCTCTGCTCCGCCTGTCCTGCTTCGTCCGTTTCACTTCCGTAGATGGGAGTCGATCGAAAAATTTTGATTCTGGACCGGCACAGGGGACAGCACTGGCCCATAGTGCCTTCGGTGACCCAACCATAGAGACAGCCCCAACATGACAGGTGGCCGCACGTGGTTACGACCGCATTTCTCGCCTCGCCCAGGCAGATGGTGCACTGCCATCGCGCCAGATCGGCCCCGCGTTCCGGCACATGCCCGTCCTCGTGCTCGATCGGGTGTTCTTCTGCCTGAACCACCTGCTCCTCAACCTCGACTCCCTGCTCGACGCCGTCGACTGCCTGCTCTGCATCTTCGATGGCCTGCTCGCCGACTCCTTCCGCCGGTTCTCCACCCTCGGCCCGTTGCCCGATTGCCCGTACCTGGATATTAACGCTGACATCCGCACGCCCCTCCCGCAGGATGGCCTGCAGTAGTTCCACCGCTTCGTCCGACCTTTGCCTCTTTGTCCTCCTCGGACCCCTGTGCCACACGCAGCACTCCACGTAATGGCCCACTTGCTGGCACGCGGTACATATCGCGTCCCTTGCTCGACACCTCACAGACCCGGTCGCGAGTCTGTTGTCTCCACAAGCTTCACAGCTTTGCTGCTGCATACTGGCCTGCGTACTGAGTGCTGGGTTCCTGAACTGAACTCTGGATCTAGGATTTGATCGTTGAAGCGACGACGATGGAATGATCATTTCGGTCTTTCGTTTGCCTAACCTCCGTCTCAACTCGAGCTGTGATTTGTCGATGCCAGCGCCATTTTCACTGAAATATGTACTCGACATTTCTTCCGGTCAATCTTCCATCCGTCGTGCACATTCCGTAAATCTCCGTTCCATTCCCGACTTATGCCTGCCACATTCTCACCATACATTTGAACCAATTCGCTCGGTCTCGCTACCTAAATGTTGTCCTCAACATTACTTAGAATATTTTCCCTGAAAGCGTTTCCTTCTAACTGGCTGTTGCCTAGCCTGCTCTGACAAGGGGAGAACCGAACATGTAACGCGCCGATCGGGCTGAAACTTCGGTCATAAAATCCCCACCCCGAGAGAAGTTCAACCCTATGAGGTTATCTGCGTATGGCCACTCTAAGGGTGTTAAAATAATTATCGAAAACTCGCCCTCAAGCATTGACTCTACGGGAATAATGGAAAATACTATGAACAATGGACGAATATTGGATCTGCCCGAGATATCCGAAAACATATATATGTATATATTTCTATATACTAAGATATATTTCCGCATCGCGTTTGGAACCACGAATAACATATATATGTATATATTTCTATATACTAAGATATATTTCCGCATCGCGTTCGGAACCACGAATAACCGCCTACCGTCGATAACCTTGAATAGCACTCCTATGATGCACTCTGTCTCGGGACAAAACCAATGAAAACTCGAATCTTATGGTTTGACAATCTCGCTCGTTCCCGGAGACGCGCTGAACGCTCATGCGCCTGAAGCGCTCGCTGTGCAACTGGTAGCGCTTCGACTCGGCGTGCCCGAGCTTGCACATGCACGTTC